CAAAAAAATTTGCTGGGCGTGGTGGTGAGTGCCTGTAGTCCCTATTACTCAGGAGGCTGAGACAGGAGAATCACTTGAACCCAGGAGGCAAAGGTTGCAGTGAGCTGAGATCATGCCACTGCACTCCAGCCTGGGCAACACAGTGAGATTCCATCTCAAAAAAAAAAAAAAATATATATATATATATATATAATCTGAACATTTTTTAATGGCACAGACAATTATTCTTGACATGCATTCAAATACCTTAATTTGTTATTTAGACAGTATTGTCTCTAGCATTGGGATGTGGACATTTTTTGGGAACGTATGCTTTTTTTTTTTTTTTTAACTGTTCTTATTTTTATAAAACTGCAATTATTTGAAAAGCTTCATTTTACAGTTAATATATCTGAAATTGTAGACAATTTTAGTTGATGCTTCTCTGTAGACTGTGATGTTTTTAACTGAGAACACACTTTCTCTCCAGATACTGATTAACCTGTAAGTTCTGCTAAATGAAGAATCTTCTCATTTTTTATATTAAAATATGTAAATATTTCAGGCCAACATCATCATAGGGGCTGTTTTTCTGCCTTCATTCAGAGGATCTTTCTTCAGTAATTTTCTTATAAGATAAAACTTTCAAGTTGTCTATATCTGTGATTTTTTTTTAACATTTTGCCAAATCTAGATATTGCAAAATCATAGACTTTCAAAATTTTTCTCCATTTTGGTGAAGAATAAAAATTTATCCAATTAAAATAAGAAGTCAAAATACATCAAAGTTAAGATTTTTTGAAGCATAATCATCAAATTAGATAATTAAACCATATTAGCTTTCATCTTTTGATTTATTCAATTCCTCCTTGGCTTTTGTAGGGAGAAATTTGAGCTGCTTCTTTTGCAACCCTTCTTTTATATAACTGTAACTTGGTAAAAGCTGAATTTTCATGCTACATTCATTGAATAATATCGATTAAAAATTTCCAATTGGTCTTGAACATAATGCAATCTAAATTTGGGTTGCTTTACAAAGTGGTTTTTCAAAGGCTCAAGCATTCCCAAAATCCAACTGATGACATGCAACACAGACAGGAATATATATGTAGCGATTCTGAAATGTTTCCTTGTGTGGTAGTGTTCAATATCAGCTTCTGTCACAAAAGTTTTGTAGATCAATTACTTATATAATCTGTGTGTGTGTGTGTGTGTGTGTGTACGTATTTATTTATATCTATAAATTTTGACAATTTCAGTTTCTGTTTTGACTGACAAAATACTGAAGCTTGTTTGGATGTAGTCACAAATTTTGTGTGGATTGCAACCAATTCCCAGTATACTTCTGCTCCATAACTTGTTAACCTGGTAAGAACATTTTTTTTTACAATGCTGTGCTCTATTAACATTTGTATTCATATTCTCACAACAAAAACAATAGTTTATCTTCAATGTTGAGCTTTTCAACTAAATTTACAGTGGCACTAACAATGTCAGATGTTTCACTTTTTGACTAGGAAATAAATTTTCACATATCTTATTTGGATCTTTTGAATTAGATAAAAAATAAAATTGAAACATTTCAGAATTAATACATTTTCGAATTGAGACCTTTAATGACACTAACTTAAAAAACATTATTTGAAGGTTTTCAAAGGGAAAACGCTCATTAATTATGATCAGTTTACTTACAAGCACAAGAAAACTTGGAATTGAAAATGAGCAAAACTAATTTATGAGTAATTTGATCCTAATAGGTGTGCTTCACAATGACATGTACACAGGCCTTCTGCAGCTGCGTGTTGAAGTCATTTTAAGGCATATTCTTCTTAAATTATTAACTTTAGAAATAGATGCCAAAGCTTCTTCACCATGTTTGTAGCTTCTGGTTTTAAAAGGGACAGTGATCTCTCTACTTGCCTGCATGGTGCACGGTAAATATTGACAAATATTTTCTGCACGTTGCATATTCGTTATCAGGTTTCTTGAGTCAATTAAACATGTGGGTTTTGTTTCGTTTTTGTTTTGAACTAACTGCTGAACGGGTTCACCATAAAATTAAAAAGGCATTATCATACAATAAAACAAATTGAGCTTTGTACATACAAATAATAACAAAACTGCTTTAATAAAGCAATAAGACTACACTATACTCTATGGCAAAATTGCTTAGCCTCTATTTCCTAAACATAATTTGTATGACATTAAGCTACAATTTCTCCCATTTTCTACTGACTCTGAGGAGGTTCCATGCATCATCTCACAGGCCACCACCACACGGATCACGGGAGGGCATGAGTGTGGTTCACCAAGTGGCCAGCAGGGGGAAAAGCCTCAGAAATTTTTCTGCTACTACCTAAGATCAGAAGTTAGTTCAACCATTGTAGAAGACAGTGTGGCGATTTCTCAAGGATCTAGAAATAGAAATTCCATTTGACTCAGCAATCCCACTATTGGGTATATACTCAAAAAACTATAAATCGTTCTACTATAAAGACACATGCACACGTATGTTCGTTGCAGCCCTGTGTACAATAGCAAAGGCCTGGAACCAACCCAAATGCCCATCAATGATACACTGAACAAAGAAAATGTGGTACATATACATTATGGAATACTACGCAGCCACAAAAAACGATGAGTTCGTGTCCTTTGTAGGGACTTGGATGAATCTGGAAACCATCATTCTCAGCAAATTGACCCAAGAACAGAAAGCCAAACACCGTGTGTTCTCACTCATGGGTGGGTGTTGAACAACGAGAACACATGGACTCAGGGAGAAGAGCATCACACACAGGGGACAGTTGGGGGGGTAGGGGGGAGACAGTGGGGGGTGGGGAGGGAGGGGAAGGTGGGGAGGGATAACATGGGGAGAAATGCCAGATATAGAATGCACCTAAAGTAGAATAAATAAATTTTAAAAAAAAGAAGAGTTAGCTATCTTTGACTACTTGTGCTTGAGCTCTTTGCTTTAACAGCCAGCACCCTTCATATAATTCTTGAAAAGTTGCCACTAGCTAGGTTTTGTCTGCATGGAATCAAGAAAAAAGACAAGTTATCATTAGCCATCTTTTGTATTTAGCCATAATAAAGTCAGAACTTGGCTGGGGGCAGTGGCTCATGTCTGTAATCCTAGCACTTTGGGAGGCCAAGGCAGGCAAACTACCAGGTCAAGAGTTCAAGACCAGCCTAGTCAACATGGTGAAACCTTGTCTCTACTAAAAATACAAAAATTAGCTGGGCATGGTGGTATATCCCTGTAGTCCCAGATACTCGGGAGGCTGAGTCAGGAGAATCATTTGAACTTGGGAGGCAGAAGTTGCAGTGAGCCAAGATCATGCCACTGCGCTCCATCCTGGGTGGGAGAGAGAGACTCCTTCTCAAAAGAAAAAAAAAAAACAAAAACTCTGTTCATGGAATATGTGTTTTGTACACTGATGAGACCACAGAAGAAGCTGGAGGGAGGTCTGTTAAGCCATACCGTCTTACTCTAATGCAAATACTGATAAGAAAACTTCAAATAAAATTGAAAATATGGGTAAAAGGTTAAATTTAGTAAGATACAACAACAACAAAAAAAAAAAAAAAAAAAAAAAGAATAAACCCAGGACTCTTTCAGATAAACCAGGATATATGGTCGCTCCAGAAAGATCAACACTGTTACTCCAAATAAGATGGGGCGTCATTGTGGGGTTTTGAGTAAAAGAATAACAGGGTCTGACTTTAGTTTTTAAAGGTGACCCTGGCTGCTTGAGAATAGACTGCAGTGGGGAAAAGGGCAGGAGACCACTTAGGAGCCTACAGTTATAATCTAACACTGAGAACAAAGACAATAGTTCCCTAGTAGAGAGAGAAATTCGTATCCTTAAAACTGTACATATCTGGAGGAAAGAACAGTTAGGGGGTAAACTACCCCTGAGCTCATATTTCAGGTCTGTGCTTCTGGTTATTTCATATAGTATACAATGATGAGTCAAAATATCATAGTACAAAATTACCAGTTATGAAGAGGATCTACTTAATTCATCTGACACTAATTCCATTCTCATCAAGTAGCCTTTTAATTATAACGTACATCCATGTGGACTTATCCATAGAAAGAGAATGCATATATGAGTAAATACTAACAGCTGTTTTACTCGACAGCTTTAACTGTAACCATAAATTAATAAATTTGATTTCTGGGTTTTGTTTTTTGTTTGTTTTTTGAGATGAGTTCTCATTCTGTCACCCAGGCTGGGGTGGAGTGGCGCGATCATAGCTCACTACAGCCTCAACCTCCTGGGCTCAAGTGATCTTCCTGCTTCAGCCACCTGAGTGGCAGGGACCACAGGCACGTGCCACCACACCCCGCTAATTTTTAAATGTTTCATAGAGATGGGTGTCTCACCATGTGGCCCAGGCTAGTCTTAAATTCCTGGCCTCAAGTGATCCTCCTGCCTCAGCCTTCCAAAGGGCTGAAATTACAGGCCTAAGCTACTGTACTTGCCCTGGGTTTTTAAAAGTATATATCATCACTTGTCAGTTTGGTTAGTTTGAATTGGTTCCCTGGAGCTTCATAATCTCTGTGTAAACTAACACTTGAATTTCCTAATCTATTCAGCAGAAAATAAGACCTGGGAAGTGGTGAGCCTAAAAAGTCACCCTGAGAAGACTCGTCTAAGCTGCCACCTGGCCTTCCTCAGGTGATCTCTGGCTTGTGTACCATTCCAGTCAAACTGCAACATGCATCTGTGATGTCCAAACAGTAACATCAGAATACCCCAAGTGAATCTGACAAAACTGTCTGTGACCATGCACTCATTAGAAAAAAATTAGGTCTCAAAACCTCATTCCTCTGTGATGATTTTCTCAATTCTCTTCCTTTTTCCAAAAACATCTTTAGATTAACACTGAGGCATTATTTTTCTGTTTCTTGGATATATGATTCTCCTTTCATAGCATTTTATGTGGGATACAATTAATTTTCAGAAATGCACTCAAACAACCATGTTTAAGGACTATAATAAATGAAAAGTTACCGGCAAGGGACTTGTGTTATCCTGAACAGAAACGATTTCTGAAGTATCACCCAGGTTACTCTCCTTTCTGGAATGCTGATCAGGGGGAAGAGAAGCTGGGTTGGAATATTCATCACTGTCCTGAAGGGTGGAGCGTTCCAGTTCCTCTAATAAAGCATCTACATCATAAGAAACAAGATAATCATAATAGAGAATATTTAAGTCTCTAGAATCATTTTCTCCTTAAATATCTTCACTGTGCCCACATTCATCTCCTTCTTTTCTTCAGTTATGCCTATTTTCAAATATTCCTTATTTCGCTTCAGTAATGTGGTGAATTTTACCAAGAAATGTTTAATGCCTCCATAAATGTGTGGCTCGTTTCTTATTTTCTATGGTTGCATTCAATTTCATAGTCTTACTCTATAATTTGATGTTTTATACCACAAGTACTAATTTTCATCATGCATTTGGGGTAGGTTGTCCACAAATATCCCTAATTAGAAAACAATAAATCTGGGCTGGGTGTAGTGGCTCATGCCTGTGATCCCAGCACTTTGGGAGGCCGAGTAGAGTAGATCTCTTGAGCCTAGGAGTTTCAGACCAGGGCAACATAGCAAAACCCAGTCTGTACTAAAAATACAAAAAATAAGCCCAGAGCGGTGGCTCACGCCTGTGGTTCCAGCTACTCGGGAGGCTGAGGTGGGAGGATCACACCACTGCAATCCAGCAGCCTGGGCCACAGGAGTGATACCCTGTTTCCAAAAAAGAAAAAAAAAGAAAGAAATACTAAATGCTTTGTTCTATCAGAAAAATATAAGCAATTATATTACCATTTTTCAAAATATACCAGGGAAATAACACTTACGCTTAATCCTAATGATTTTTTTTTCTAACTCTTAACAATTATCCTGAGAACATGACAGAATTCACAAAACAAGGTATAAGTATTCTGTCTTTTAGAGTGTGGAGAGAAAAAAGGGTTGGGGAGAAAACTGAGATATTGCAAAATCAAGTAACTTGTTGCAATTCAAATAGTTGGGATTTGTTACTCTTGTAGTTTTGTGTTTGTTTGTTTGGAAAAGTATTATACTAGTACTTGTCTGTTATAATGAAATAAATAATAATTAGTAAAAAATTAACACATGCCAGGCACTGTGCTCAGGAATTTACACATTTCATTTAATCAACCTATCACTTTGAGGCAGGTGATATCACTGTCCTTATTTTGCAGATCAAGAAAGAGAGAAAAATAATTTGCTTAAGCTCATGAGTGGAGAACCAGGACTTGAATTTGGGCTATCTAATCCCTAGCCCCTGCACAAATTGAAAGTTAGAAGTTCCAGTCTCCTGTCTTACACGGATTCTCTGGGTTATCTTAAGCATGTCCTGTCCTTTTCTGAAGCAGTTTCTTCATCTACATAAAGAGTCAAGTGGATTAGAACAGTGTTTTTCAAATTATAGCTCAATACCCATTAGTGGATCTCTAGCAGATTTCTTACCACAGGTTATAGTTTTCAAACTTTAAACACAGAATTATATTATTTCTAAGGACCTGCCTACCCCTGAAGTTCTCAGATAAGGAAAAGAAACTTCACAGGTATTTAAAAAACAGATTTTCATTTATTTTAGATTTTAGAGGCATGAATTATTCTTAATATCATTAGAAGAGTTCTAATCCTTTTTTTTTTTTTTTAACAAATGACATCCACAGATCTTTCACAATCATCCATTTCTCAAAAATGTTGGATTTTATGGACCATTTCAGAGATAAGCAAACTGAACTAAACTTTAGGGCAAACAAATAACTGTAATGGGAAAAAAGAAATGAGGTGGAACCTATAGCTTTAAAAAGTCAAGAGACTTATAATTAATTTCAATGTATGAACATTTTTGGATCACTAAACCTACTTTAAAAATAAAACAAGACTATTGAACACTGACTGGATATTAAGTAATATCAAGCAAGTACTGTTTATTTTAGGTGTGATAATGATATTTGATAATATTAAGTAATTCTGTTAAGTTTTTAGGTGTGATAATGGTATTTTCCAATATTAAGGAACTACTATTAAGGCTGTTGTGTGTATGGCAATGGCATTACGGTTATATGTATAAACATATTTATTTATTTTAGAGATTAGTGCTAAAATATTTACAGATAAAATAACATCTGAAATTGCTTTAACATAATTATAGAAGTGAAAGGAATGGGTGGCATACATATGAAATAAGACGTGAAGAATTGATTGTTTAAACTGGTTGATGCATATGTTAGAATTCATTAAACTACTTTCTCTACTTTTGCATACTTAAATTTCTTTATAATAGAAGGTTTTTAAAAAGAAGGACAAAGAAAATGAAAACTAAGGTAGAAAGAAAACTTTTTGCCTCAGCTTTTTACTCCAAATTTGAGAATTTTGAATTTTTATTCTGCATCTCTCAATTAAGCTAGAGTCCCTTGATTTTCTATTTTCTAAACTTTGCTCTAACTAGAAGCCAAAGATCCTCCTGAGCTCAAAATAAAAAGCCATTTACAATAAAGGTTATAAGAGAGAGGAAATCAGACCACTAAAAGTGGGAAGTTGCCCTCAGAAGCACCAGCTAACCAAAGTTATCAAAACCCTTCTTCCTGGGTTATGAGTTGTGGGCTTTTTTCTTCCTGTTTCTTATGAGTGCATCAACAGTCTGAGGTTATTATGCCTTTTGTCAGATTTTGTAATTTGAAGATGACTCATTTCAGTAATGACAAATACGGGACTCCTGGAGAGTGGGGGGTGGGAGGATAGGGTACTAGACTGAAGACTCTATAATTATTTTCTGTGGTTCTTTACCTGTGGAGATGAAATAATATCAAATATTATCATGAAACAAGTAAAGTGAGGTCTCTGGGGGGGTCTCTATTGGTTGTATGGATTTCACTTCGAGGTAGAGTCTGCTCCTGGTTCCTCTTTATCTATCATGCCTAATGCCTATGTAATAAGGGCTTAGGTAAAACTTTCTGATTTACAAGCTGCTAGCCTCTGAGGTACTACTGCAGACTGGAAATATTTGCTCACTTGAGCCAACCTGTCCTAGATGCCATTTCTCTGCCAGCAGGAAAAGGTCCACCCCAAGTCTCAAGGGTAGTTACTGGGCAGCTGACAATTTGAAGAAACTGTTGAAGTGTAGCCATCAATAGCCTGTGGAGATGTAGCCAACTGGATAATCTGCACAAATGTTAGCTTCCAGGCTACTTGCTTGGTACTTTCTGTATTTCTGGACAAGATTTACCTAACATCTAACCTGCTCAGGAAATGCAAAACAATATAAACGTCGGTTAAATCTGGGTTACTTTGTTGGCCACAACACCAGAACTAACAAACTTCTAAAACAGGAGACCACCTTTTTGCTTAGTTTTGGTGTCAGGTGTTCCCAGCAGTGACACTAACAAGTTAGTTTTTCTTAGTTTTCTCATCTTAAAAAGAAGCGGATATACCTCTGAAATACCTATTTCACAGGGTTGCTGCAGACACTAAAATTATCAACATATGTAAAAATATCTAGTTTTTGCTTGAGTCACTAAATTTTAGTTTCCTTTTAAATTATTTGCCATGAAAGCCATTAGGTGTCCCAGAAAAAAGAACTAAAAAAAAGGAAAAGAAAAAAAAAGGAAAAAGAAAAAAGGCCCTACCCCTAGTGGAACTCAAGGAGAAATTCACATTCTTCACCCAGGGAGGATAGGAATTTGGATTCTACCCCAAGTCCAAAATAGAGTCTAGCCCAGTATCAAGACAGACTTAACCTCCAAAGCAGTTTGGTATTTACTAAACGCTACCTCTCCCTCTTCATTAACATATCTTCCCTCCTGGTAATTTGCCCTTTACTTTTCCTCTCTTTCTCCAACTTTGAAATCACATGTCATTTTTTTTAAGACAATGTAACAATAAGCAAGATATTTTTTTGTTGCTTTTTGCACTTTTGACATACGCCATCCCCAAACACACCCCAAACCAGGACACTGTGGAATTAATACAGCTTGGAGATTGGGTAAAGTTTAGTGACTCAGTGTTAGTTAAGATGCTGGCAACAGATGTTGGCAAAGGCTATGGAATGAGTCCCAAGAATGACAAACGTTACACTACTCCAAAGGTTTGAAATCCAGGATATCTCTGGATGGATAATGTGGCTAAGAGTTCCACTGCTGGTTTTAATTGCCTTGGAGTGGAAGGAGGTAACATATTTTCAGGCCATAGTAATCTCTTCCTTTAGAATTCTTCTGAATAAAAAGCTTAGCAACAAAATCACTTGAGTTAGGTGCTATGCCTTCTTGATTTAAGACTAAAACATGAAACAAATGAAACCACTCTGGCGTTTTTCCAACCTCTACGGATCCCTCATTCTTATATTTCAAGTCCATTTTTTCTTCCCCAAAACACCCCAACTCCTCTTTTGCTCTTTCTTTTCCTCCTCAAATCACATCTCCGCATTGCCTTGCTATTTGGCCACCCTATGATCTCCAGTGACCTGGATGGGGCAAAATGCTCATAATAAAACGACAATTTCAATCACAATCCAGTCCAAAAGTATTTGCCAAGAGTTTGCTCTGCGGTTAGCACCAAAGTCTCCCTCTATTTTGCCACTGCAAACAGTGAACCCATAGTTCCCCAAAACAATCATAGTTCCTCATGCTTCCCTCTTGGCAGGGCTGAGGACAGAAGTGAAAATAAAATCTTCCATTACTACCCTCGGTCTAGCCAGAAGTATGCCCCACTACACAAGTAGATCGCAGCCAAGTCTTCACTCCCTCAGAGTTTCTGCTCCAAGAAGCTCCTCACTCACCTAACTCTTCCATTGTCCTACATCCAAAATGCTCTTGTCTCACAGGCCGTGAGGAACAGCTTTGGCATGTGCTGAAGAAGAGGACCACAAAGGAACTGGATGAGACAGCATAAGGCAGCCTCTATAACCCTTTTTGGTTCCTGTATTTGCTTAGCACTTCCTCTCTTTTGATTTGGTGAGTTTCTTTTTTTTTTTTTTCTTTTTCATAGGTTACACAGTTTTAAAAATGGGACTGATATAGAAAGTTAGATAGTAAGATCTGAGTTATGGTGGTGCATCAGCCAGGGTGATAGAGATTCAAAATTAATTTTGCAAAATCTGAGCACCTACTCTGTGCCAGGATTCATCTTGGAGTCATGGGAATGACAGATTCATACCTGTGTTTTTTCCAAGTGTAGGTACCTCACTCTAACTGAGCATCTACCTTTTTTTTTTTTTTCTGTGAAGCTGGGGGACCATAGAGGCATAGTCTCCTTCATGACATTTCCATCAGAATGGATTCCATCAGGTATCCATTCCATTTTGTTGTCTTAATGTACTTATTCAGAAATTATGCTTATCAGATTTCCAGCATGGATTGTAAATCCTTAAAAGTAAGGCAGAAGTGGATTCATGCTTGGATTCTCGGGGCCTGGCTTACTCAACAGTTCAAAATGCAAACATCTATAGGGGGGTCACAAAGAAGGAAGCCAGGTTTGATACCAGATGTTAAACTGTGTATATCTCAATTAAGCATAATCCCTGCCTAGATACATTGCCTTATAGCAATTTCTCTGGAAAGTGACACTGAGGTTAACTCTTCACCATTTTTCCCACTGTGATTTTATTCACCTTTAATGAAACATTTACAAAAGGCCTACTATAAAAAGGAACTATAATTACGGCCCTGTTAAATAGATTTTATCCCCGTTTTTACCAATGGTGAAATACGTTCATGCAATAGTAACTTGCTAAGATAATTAATTGGTAGCTTTGCTACCATAATCACAGATTTCAAAGTCTGTGATCTCTCCTCTAAAACACAGTGTTTTATTTTTTATTATTATTTTTTTTAGAAACAAGC